ACATTCTAAGAGATTACTTGACCATTCATGTAAAGCAAATGTAAATCACTTTGCCTTTCCTTTGAACCATAGAAATGTTTTAATTTGATTGTATCGAACCATAAAATAAGGGTAGTTAGATGTAGGGAGAGCCCCTAATATTAGTAGGTCCAACTGTCATTCAATAGTTAGTGTTGTGTAGTCCAATATAGTTCAGATTATATAACACTTCTTTCAATTTAAAAAGAGAGAATAAAGGTTTTTGGCTTTCTAAATTGATATTAATAGTGTATATAGAATGACTTATATATAGGTGTTTACAAAAAAAAAAAATATTATAAGGTATAGAATATTTACAAAAAAAAAAAGTATAAATATGATTTGAATAGTGTGAATAGTTGATTGTTCATTATTGTTCCCATATCTTTTTTTTTTTTTTTTTGGGTTTAGTGGTTAAGATCTCTCCAAGTCAATTTGCACGCGCTTAGGGACTAATCCTTCTTTGGTCTAATCAAAGGCAAATCATCTACTTTGGGGTTAGAGAGTTCAATGAAGAATTACCACCCCCTTGGCCTCACCAAAGAATCGAACCTTGATCAATAAGGTGGGGAGTAAATTTCATTACCAACTAATTCACAACTCATTGGATATTATGTTCATATCTTAACACCCCTCAAACTCAAAGTGATTGTAATAAAACCAACTTGAGTTTAGGAAGAAGAGTACCAAAAGCATCCAATAGCAAAACCAATGAATAGTTTCTTGTGCAACACAATGGCAAATAAAGTGACAATCAACATCATTATGTTTTGTGTGCTCAAGAAAGATATCATTATAAGCAATTTGCATAACACTATCTATATCAATCTAGAAGTGGCTTGATTCCGGTTGTGATTGACCAATACATGAAAGATTAGTAGTGTATATTATTGAGAGTAATATTAATTAAAAATATTAATTAAAATAAATATTAAATAGAGAAATGATATATTTATATATAAATCTTAACTATATATCTCTTTAGAATTGGCTTGATTCCGGTTGTGATTGACCAATACATGAAAGATTAGTAGTGTATATTATCGAGAACAATATTAATTAAAAATATTAATTA